CGATAATGTCCGAGGTGGAGTGCGCGTCGGCCCTGAGCCGATGGAAGGTATAGATTTACGGGTTTTGAATATGCAAAGTAAATCTAAAATTCTAGAAGAAATCAGACACTCAACATCCTTTACCTTGCAAGGTTTTTAATCTTCTACATCTCATCCCCATAGCTCATTTATTCTACCATCATGGGAATTGACATACCATGGAGAATAACGCCTGCCTTCATCTCAAATCTCATCTTATTATCATCTCATTTATCTTCATTTAAATTATTATTTTAAATGAACTGAAATCTTTAGGTTTTAGATATAACTTAAAGTATACTTGAGGGAGCACATAGAGGGATACCTTAAACATTAAATTTGAAGTTACATTTATTACAGATTACCACAGAACAAACCGATAAAAGCTCACTTAAAGAAACGACAAGCGAACATTAAATAAAACAAGAAAACCAGTAAAATAACACTTAAAAGCTAAACCATAAAAAGGAGCACATCGCCTTAATTAAGAAAATAAAAAATGACAAAGATATTCCGTCTCACCGCCTTCAGCAAAACGCCCTTGCAACCAAAACCACAAGAAAGTATAAAAGAAACATCTCCCTACATCCAACTGCCGGGTCACACGGCTGGGATGCTCTGCCTTGACCTGGCTTCCTGGGCTATATTTATTACCACCCTCCGCAACGAATATACAAAAACGAAGGGACTCTGGGGTCAAAAAAGGTCAGGACACCTTTCTCAATAGAGGGCGGTATCTCCTTCCCTCCCATTAAGTTAGTTTTACTTAAAAGATACTTGTAAAAACCCCTCCAAACAATTTAAAAAGGACGGAGTAGCTTTAAGACTAATATATTAGTAACACGAGAGGAAGGGATACTGCCTTCCAAGGACGGAATGTGCTCATTCTTATGAATAGTAAAAAGAAAACGAGTAAAAATTTATATAAAAAATATTTTAATTAAGAATCAATAAGTCATAGAGTAACATCAGCCAACACAAATAAAATAATCCATTTCCGGCCTCCAGACATCTCCCCGCGACCGGGCACCGTAATATATTGCGTGACCAGGGGTAACTCTGGTATTTCCGGCCGGTACTTTGTTCCGTGGTGGGCCGCTTTCGACTTGTCGATCACTACAAAATGACGATTTGTGACCTTTGTGCCCCCCCCCCCCCCCGTGGCATCGCGCCTGTTGGTAAGTGGCGAAGGGGTAGAGGAGTTAATCTTGACCATAAACCGGATATTATTTTTGTTAAATTCAATCTCATAACTAAATCGTAGAATGAGGGTGATTGTGAGTAATGACGATAAGACCATTAGAACGTCCAAATACAATGTACTTCTACTACTACTACGACTACTAATGATAATAATAACAATAAGACTTAAAAGTGATACAATGGAAACTACAAGCACTCCACGCATCCTCACCGTGCGCCTTCCACCCCCCCCCCTCCCCACCCCCACCACCACCACCTCTGACTCATGGAGCGTAATGACTTTGCCGTTTTAACTCTCTTCGGGTTTTACATTTTTGTATTCGTAATTAACATTACATTCATGTGGTTTTGTATTTTCTTTCTGTCTATTCTCACTACCAAAGTATGTCTGGGAGCTTACCGAAGAGGTTAGCTACCAAAATTCGTGTTGCAACATGTTAGTGCCAGGCGTATGACGAAGGACTATGTAATTAAGAATACTATTGTGTTAACAAACATTTTCCCTAAAATAATGGATCAACTTCAACCTCTTGGTAAGCTGCTTTACTTATTTTCACCATTTACAGTCGAAGAAATACCGAAACTTTGTGAATGGCGGTCACAATTCTCCCGGCTCTCGCTCTGACACATCAGTGAGGCTTCAACCGCGATAGAGTGTGGACGAGCGAGGAGGCGCTCCTTCCTGACTCACACGTTTGAGAGAAATGAACCCAGACAAACCCCAAGACATGAAGCGGAAAAGTTGGAACACATTAGAGTCGGACCGGGTTAACTACCCAACAGAGTCGGACCTGGATAACTCATCAACAGAGTCGCAGCAGGATAACTTCAAAATACAGTCGGACCTGTATAACTTCAAAATACAGTCGGACCTGGATAACTCACCAACAGAGTCGCAGCAGGATAACTTACCAACAGACTGGAGGCTGAATACCCTATTTCCTGACCTTGAGGTAAGTCCATGTATATTTTGGTTTAGAAATAGATGTGAAAAGAGAGAGAAATGTCAGAATTCGTAGCCGGCTGTCTGTGATTTTTTTAGGTCTTGAAAATATGTAAATATCTTTGAATTTGAGGTAATTCTTAATAAAGTCTTTAAATTTGGTTCTGAATCTACCAAACTTTTTGAAGAATCGGGATAAAGGTGGACTTACAACTTGAAAAATGAAAATGAAAAAAGCGGGCCTTCTCTATGTTGATTTGACTTAATGAGTTCAACTTTAAATTACATTATAACGTGATATTAGAACTGAAAAAAGTCCTTGAAAAGTCTTTGAAA